GCAGTTCGACGAAGACAATTATAGCCGAAGAAGGAAAAGAGGTACCGCCGCTTCCAAGAAGGAACACAGTGATCTCCTCCGAGGTGCGTCCGTTGATGGCATATAACCCCAGAGCCTCTGCATGAAGTCGATCAATGCTCGGTCGCCATTAAAGATGTGGTCCAAGAAGCCCCCGACGGTAGGCGTCGGGTGACCCAGCCCCTGCAAAGGACGAGCCAGAACTGTCAATTGGCTTGCCTCCCATTCCTATAGCCATAGTGCTTGCAAAACTTCACTCCTTGGTACATGCATATATTCTTTCATTTTGAGGTCGACAGGAATTTAGCAAGCTTTGCCAAAGGCGCATATAGACATAGATGGATGCAAATCCGAGTTTAAAAATATGGGTTGGGCTATACATGCGGATACGTAAATTGCTATATTCTACTATGTGATGCAGTCAAATAGAGATAGTCTGTACTGGCGGGCTGGAATTGGCCGTCCTACCCACAGATTGGGATCGTAGAACACAAGAGAGGGCTTCTTGTACCATTATATGGCGGAATGATGCAAGCTAGAGAGGGGTATGTATGAAGACCATTTGCATCTAAAGTGCGTCGCTTATGGCAATGGTTAGGCCGTATAATGCTAGGCCAACACACACACATGTTCTAGATGCATTTGAGTTCAATGCTGCCAGCCAGTTGGTGCAGATTGTCAAAAGTTCCTTTGTAAACTGCCATAGTATGCAACGTTACTATGCAGATATGATCTTGCGAAAGCACTTGGTTATCTAGCGAGGAAAGTTAACGAATTTCGTCTGCCTCGCCGCGGTGTGCACAGCCCCTTTGAAACGTTGAGATGTTGGCGTAAACGAGTACAAATGCCATTCATGTCGAAACAGGATCTTCAGATTGAGACATCGGAAACATTGCTTCCACTCTGTCTCGATGTGACCGGACTTATTTCCCCAAAACCTTTCCAATATGCAACGGTCTGAAATAACAGGTTTGCATTTTGATTTGTCGCCAATCCACTTTGTGTTTGCACTGATTGGGCATCTGCTGAATGTAAAAATCAAGTGGCCCAGCCCTCATCCCTCCGCAGTCGGCTGAGGAAGCAGTCTTGCTTTTTCAAGACAAGTAGGGGTCCTTTAAAGCGACCTCTGCCTCTACCTTTTTCCTTTTCAGTAACGCGGCCAATTGCCGACCCTCTTCTGTCAATCCGTCATACTTGTCCATCATGATGCCCACCTGGTACACGTCGCTTTTGGTGGTGTACTCTCTTGATCGCGACAATGTTCCAGCATCCCAGTCTGTAAAGGGCTGGAAGTTGTGCGGCACCTGCGATGCCACCAGGAATGTTAGCATGTTTGCAAAAGAATTCAAAACAAAAGAGTTCAGGATGGGGGCTTTTAAATGACATCCAATCCTTCTGAGCTGTGGCGCACTTCGTGCTTCCAATCTGGGGCCTTAAAGAAAACTTTTGTATCACTAAGCTCCTGAGGAGGTACAGTTACCTCACAACAAAGCCGAACCTTTGTAGTTGAAAAGGGACAAGGGCAGAAGGCAAGCAAGAAGCAAGCAGAGATCCACCAGACGTCTTCAACTTCAAGGATCAGTTTAAAATAAGCCTACCTTCCAGGGCAGCTTGTGCGCGGCCTCAAAGTCGGCGACGAAGGGTTGTGGCCCCCAGAGGATGTTGGACATTCGCAGGTCGCAATGGCCGAGCTTCGCAGCTGCGAACAGCCGGCAGAGCTCTAAGCACACACGGACAGCTTTTCTAAGGTCGCTCTCGCTCAGCTCGTTGATGTCCTCGATGCAGAAGCCCAACCGGGTCAAGACGACCTGCACAGAGATACAGGCAGTGCTCCAGAAAGAGTGGTAGCGACAGTAAAGCAGCTCGATGCCAGGGGCTTGAAGAACAAGTCAATGAGACTCTGGCCCAAGCAAACTCTGCATGGAAGGTCGAATGAGAACGATCGACATTGGAACGCACAGAATCAGGGCAACCTAGACAAAGGTTAGAAATGATCAAAGCAAAATGCTGCTCAGGTGCGACTTACCTTGTAGATGCAGCGTGGCTGATCGGTACTACCACGCTTCTTTCCCGGGGTATTGGAGATGCTCTCGTGCCAGACCGCGAATGATTTTCCGTTGGCCAGCTCGTACGCGGTCTGTAATGATGCAAAGAAGGCCCTGGTCAGTACTCTTCCTTTTCTGCTCAAAAATACGAGCTCTACTCTCTTCAACGAACTCCTCGACTTGGGACATGCATCTTGCTGAGGTATAACATCTCAATGAACGACGAGAACGTTTCCAAGGTACTGACATGATTTTGGTCGGCTTGTGTCAGCAGCATATGGTACCGCTCGCGCGCGGATTTAACCGTGGGCCTTTAGCATGCTTGAAAGATTCGAGAGGACAGGGCCCCAGCAGTGCGGTCTTCCTGACTTTGCATGCGTAGAGGGCAGGTCAATTGAGGAAATCTAGCCCCCAGACCTCAAAAGACTGACAAAGATCCAGATGCTCATTCGCTTTCTTTGTTGGCAACACAACGTCTTCAACTCTACAGAGGACATCAGCAGCTTTCTGGCGTCGTTTGCACCTTCTGCGCTTGCCGCCTTTAGGCATCTCGGAAAGTTGGAAGTTCGAAAGGAGCCATGAAACTTCATATTGCCTGCCTTCAGAATGTTAAAACGTGAGGCCGGCATTGTAATACTGCACATACTCCTTACTTCAAGCATCGGGTGCAAAGGTTCGTTTCTAGTCTAACTCTTCTCGAACTTCCTGAAACATCCTCGAAGGTGTACACTGGAAGAATGTCGTATCTCACTGACCGTTCACCATGACAACTTTTGTTTCTCTTTGGGACTCGCAGGTTTGCAAACGTCAGGAACCTCTTACACATTTATGTTGCGACCCAGCTTGTATTGGTGTCAAGGAACTCCACGGATAATCAGAATCTTGGAAATTGCCGTGATCAGCAGGGAGAGCAGAGTGGCCACGAGCTGAACACCCCACCTTTACAGTTTCGTAGTCGTTGTGAATGCTCTGAAAGAAGTCGGCGCTGTTCTCAATCTTCTTGTGCACCGTTGCAAGGCAAATGAGAATCTCCGCGCCGTTTGGCCGGGAGATGATGTCAAACACTGGAAACCTCTGGTGGTCTTCTGGGGCGAGCTTGACCAGTGTCACAAGCAACTTATAGATGTTGACCACCGCAATCACGATTGCAATCCGATCTCCTTGGACGGTCCAGTCATACGCCCGGCCAGCGCGCTGAACCTGCAATTGATAACACACCATGAACAACAGGCTTTGGGATTGTCTGTTGCAGATCTATGGATGAAGACTGACAGTTCTTCCTGCGTGAAGTGTTGAAGAGAAGAAGGCCTCTCTGTTAATGGACGCAGAAAGAGAGCCACTCCGAAGACAAAGAAGAGCTATTCACTTTGTTCTGCTGAGATGAACATGACTTACAATTCCAGACTATCCAGACAACATGGGCAGCACGAAGCGAAAACTTTGAGCAGTCCCCTGATGCTCCATAAGGTTCTTATTCAACCCCGTGCAGGAAATGGAATGTCCAGCTGGCGTGGGTTGAAAGGAGAGGCCTGACAGCTTGAGACTGACAACCTACTTGCCCGTCTGAGGTCAGCCTTCCGAATTGGATCAAATCGCCTGCAGCAGCGTAGAGAGGGATGAATGGCACTCTGCCATAGGCGACAGGATTCAAGCCCCCGTTCAGCTTCCTTCGGTGGTCCTTCCAGGCTTCTGTGAGCTCGTCGTTCGCCTCCTTGTCCTCCCCAAACAGGAGGGACAGCTTTTCTGTCACAAGGTGTGTGTCTGGCCGAACGATGGTCCCGGGCTGCATGCAAAAGCCACTTGTCAGCCAACCCTGACCACTCGTTCCTGATGAAGGTTACAAAATTAGACAGACCAGTTCAGTACACCTTCAAAGCAACTTATCAAATGATGAAACGGGGTGTACTCATTATTGAACCTGGTAGACAAAGCAACCTATGAACAGCCCTGCCAGAAAGGTGAAGAAACAGTTTTGATGTCCTCAAGCAGGTGATAGGATGATAGGATGATCAAACAGTACCTGCGTGACAGGGCGAGACACACGTCGCTCTGCCTGGTTCCAAGAGAGCCGTATATGGATTCTCAGACGATCCGGGGCGTACTTCGCGAGACGCTGGAGGAGGCTCAGGAACTTCATCACATTAAATGACGTTGCCAACTCCTTCAGCTCTGCAGCAAGGCACCAACTCAGCAAACACTCAGCGAGTGACGATAGGATGCTTGGAAGACTCATGCGGCTTCATCGACATACCTAGCATCTTTGTAGGACCCGTAAAGGTCAGGAGGTAGTAAACACAGTCATCTAACAATTTCTGCCATGCTGGCAGTGCAGTCGTCAACAACCACATTGGCAACACAAAGTCAGGTCAGGAGAGCAAGAACTTGCCTGCAGTTGGTTCAGGATCATCCAGCAAACCCGAGACGCGCCGAACAAGGGAGCAGTCACCTTCCAGCTTGAGTTTTCGGCCCAAGTTTTCATCTTCATCATTGATCTGGTCGTATATTTGAACTGAGGCCGGGAGAGGGTTGAAAGGTGCTAGGAGCTTTTCTCCAAAGTCTGCAGCTGTGGCTTCAAGCGCTCCTTCTGCTTCCCAATGGTTAACTTCGCCAAGAAGTCGTGCGCAGACCTCCATGTTGCTGCCCTTGTTGCCGCCAGTAGTTGACACTGCAATGATAAGAACGAGAGTTCCTTAGCAACCAGCCAAACAGCAGACTCTTTCTTCCACATGCTCAACCATTAACGACTAGACTGGAATCCCTACACAACAGGCCAACTTGCAGACTCCTTTACATGCTCACTTATCACATGCTTGACCCTCGAGACGAAAAGAGCATACCAACAACTCTGCCTCCAAGCAGGATGTCCGGCCACAACAGCTGAACACTTGCCCGCAGGAAAACCGAGCCATGCAAGCAAAGCACATGCTGAGAGAAATCTGTAAGCACGTCTCTGCCAGTTCACAGTTGCTCATGCTGGAAAAGTTTCCAAGCTGACTAAGCTGCAAAAACCTGCTCCAACGTGCACTCTTCCGAAACATGCAATTCTTCTGACATTTTAGCAACCGTCTTGTGCTGCCTTTGATGCGACCAGCAAAGCTGCGCCATTCCCAGTTCTTTCGCAGAAGAGCATACAATAAAGCTTGCAAAGATGGACAGCCTGCGGTTGTTCTAGAACCCTCATGTCGATCAGCAACCTTTCGACAACCTGAAACATTTTATCCACATTCGAAAGACAGCTTTAGCATGCATGTCATCATGACCGTAAAGAACACGCCGCTCCGTTTTACATGCATTCTTGTGCTAACTTCAACTCCCACAATTACAGCGAGCGGCACACACAAGGGTGCTGGCGACGAGAGCCGCTCATTTCTAACCCACACTGATGGAAACAAACCCTGACGAAGGTGCTCTGAGCAGGTGCACTCACCTGCCTGCGGGTTTGCACAGTGTTTCAAGGCCTGTGCCCAAGATAATCAACATACTTTGACAAGAAGAGAGACGCACCTGCAGATTGCAGCCGGGCCTTCTCATCCAGCAGCTTGTTCTTCTCCTCCAGCAGCTTGTTCTTCTCCTCCCGCAGCTGCTCCTCTTTCTTCACCCAGCGCTGTTTCTCACTCAGGTTGCCAGCTTCTTCTGCACGCTCGATGCCCTCCTTCGCTTCCTTAATCTCTTCTGAAACAGCCTTGATTTGTTCCTTGACCTCTGCTATTTCCGACTTGACTTCCTCAATGGGATCCATTTGATCGTCTCTTCCTTTAATCGTCTACTCCTTCTGAAACAAGCCAGGCAGCATTGGGAAGGCGAAATGCGAAGAGAAGAGGAGAGTGCTAAACTCCCGACCTGTTCCCAACCAAGATGACTGGTGTGCAACAGTAACCTCGCAGACACCGATATTGCTTGCGCCTGAAGATGGTCCTCAAATGACGGATGACTCCTAGACAGAACAGGGGCTGGGACTCTCCGACCCGTCCTTAGCAGGACGACAGGAGAGACAGGGCGGACAGTAGTTCTCGTGTCCGGTTCTCCGCCTTCATGCTCAAGCCCTCCACCTCCG